GCGAGCAAGGGACAAGAGGGCAAGCGGACACGACGCGAAGGGGAGAGAAAGAATGAGTCCGTCCGAGAGCACATCCCTTACCCCTGCGCCAGAGGCGGTGGCGGCGCGGCGGTGGGGCGCGCGCCTCGCAGGAGTGAGGTCGCAGTTGCGGATCGCCGTGCGGAGGGAGGAGGGAGGCGAAAGGAGGGAGGAGGGAGGAGGGGGAGGAGGAGGGGGAGGAGGAGGAGGAGGAGGAGGAGGAGGAGGAGGAGGAGGAGGAGGAGGAGGAGGAGGAGGAGGAGGAGGAGGGAGGAGGAGGAGGAGGAGGAGGAGGAGGAGGAGGAGGAGGAGGAGGAGGAGGAGGAGTAGGCGGAGGGAGGAGCAGGGGTTCGTGGATCTGCCGCGCGGGCGCCAGCTCCCAGGGACCGAGGAAGGCACAGCCCCCCTCAAAAAACGAGGCCAGAGCCGCCTCGTATCCGGCGACGCAGCGCGCCGATCCCGCGTGGCAGCGGGACCCGTCACCACTCTAAGCTACAGCTAAGCTCAAGCTAAGCTAAAGCTAAGCTAAAGCTAAGCTAGAGCTAGGCTAAAGCTAAGCTAAAGCTAAGCTAAACGCTAAGCGAAAAGCTAAGCGAAACGCTAAGCTAAAGCTAAGCTACAGCTAAGCTACAGCTAAGCTAAAGCTAAGCTAAAGCTAAAGCTAAAGCTCCCAAGGGACTGGGGGGAACCGCGGGGCGGGGACTGGGGGAACCGCCCGGGGCGATTTCCACTGCCCGGCCCCTTTAAGCTAAGAGAGTAAGAACCCTTCTAGGCAGAGCCTAGGTAGGGGAAAAACGGCACATGCATAATTGTTTGGCTCTCCGCGCGGATTTCTTGGATTCGCGCTGGACCCCCCCCTCCCTGGCGCGCGGCGCGCGCCAGGGGCGGCGCCGGGGGCGCCAGCCGGGGGGCCCAGGCGCGTGGCAGGAAATCCGCGCGGAGCGCCCCAAAATTTATGTGTCTGTGTGTGTGTGTGTGTGTGTGTGTGTCTGTGTGTGTGTGTGTGTGTCTGTGTGTGTCTGTGTGTGTGTGTCTCTGTGCTGTTTTCTTCTTCGATCCTCGGCTCCCTGCCCCTCCCTCTCTCTCTCTCTCTCCGCAGGTGGCAGCCGAGACGGGAGGGGCGTCCAGGAGGGGGGCTCTCCGCACTGCGTGGCCCGAGGCCGCGTGCGCGCGCGCGGTGGGGCGGCGGGGGACCGCGGGGAGCGCAGGGAGAGGCCGGGAGGGGAGCCATGGCATCCTGGGAGATGCTGTGCCCGCGGTATCCCCCCTCTCCTTAGTCTTAGGTCGGGCATGTCCCTCTACAGGAGGGATGTTCAAAAATAGTCCAAGACTAGTCAGGGGACGACTGTTCAATTATGTGTAGACTATGTTTGAACATATGTTGTGTTTCTTCTTTTTTCTTTTTTGGAAAAATAAGAAATGATTAGTTTTGTTTGTTGTCGTTTCGAACCCGCCTGTAGGAAGACATGTCCGACCTAACCCTAGTCATCACCCCGCTCTTGGCCGCCCCCGACTCTCCGATTCTCTCTCTCTCTCTCTCTCGGCGGCGAGCAGAGGGGGGTAGGGGGAGGGGAGAGGGCTTCTTAGAAGGAGGCTGCTTCTTTGACGACGTCAGCTTTACACCCATAGATAAGGGCCGTGCCTTCTCAGAACCAGGGGTGTTTCTAAGAAGCTTTCCCCCCTCCCCCCCTCTGCGCGTGGCTTGTAGTCATCACCCCGCTCTTGGCCGCCCCTGACTCTCTCTCTCTCTCTCTCTCGGAGATGCTGCACGCCAGTTGGTCTGGGATGCTTCGTCCGAGGCACCTTTGCAACTCTGGGGGCCATGGGGTTCATCAAGCTCCTTCCCAGCTTCGCCCGAGACACCGTGGGCCATGGGGGTCACCAAGCTCTTCTCCCCCCCCCAACGTCTCCCCAGCACCGCCGTTCGGGCTGCCGCTCCTGAAGAGTGGCCGCCTGGAGCTACCCTGCACGACCCGGGCACCTGTCCTGCAGCCCTGGGAACGCCACATCAGCAGCCGTGGAAACTCCCCTCCTCCCCCTCCTCCTCCTCCTCCTCCTCCTCCTCCTCCTCCCCCTGTTCCTCCTCCTGTTGATCCTCCTCCTCACCTCCTCCTCCTCCTCCTCCTCCACCGCCTCCTCCCGGGTCGCAAGAGAGAGACCACCTCGCGCGCAACATCTCCAAGCACAGTGTTGCGAGGATGTCTCAGGCGAAACGGGCTGGACCACCTCAGGCCTCGGAAGTGCGAATGGGTTCACCTCTCGCGCGGCATCTGGGACCTCAGAGATGCGAGGATGTCTCAGGCGAACCAGGCCCGACTACCTCAGAGCATGTCGTGCCGGAGCCCAGCATCGTCAGGAGGTCTCAGGCGAAACGGACCAGACGACCTGAGAGTGCTAGAGGATCCCGACGCGCGGGTCCTCCAGGCGGACCTGGCTCTTACCACAACGGCGCACCGGTCAGCACACCCGCCAGAGGGAAGACGAGCGACCTTGCCGAGCCAGCCCACGACTCCCGCGGCAACGCGCCTGCACCCCTCACAGTCCGCTGCCCACGCGGCGCACAGTGCCTCCCCGGCACCGGCTGGGCAACGGGGCGACCCTTCACCTTAAACTTTCTACGACGGCAAGCGACACAGGAACTCCTGACATAGATGCGAAGCACTCTCGTGTGGTCGGAGGCGAGCGCGGGGAGGAAGTGAGGAAGAACAGGCCTTTGAAGAAGGTTCGGCGGAAGTCCCCGGGGCCTTCTGAGATGTGTTCTAAGCCTTCACCGAATACAGGACACACTGTTCGAAAGGCGCGAGTGCATTCTGAGAAATCCCGCCGCCTTCTGATAAGGCCTTCTCCTTCTCAATCCCCCCCTCGCTCGCCGCCGAGGTGGGCATAGGCAGCCATGCATGGAGTGTCTTGATGACCAGGACTCGCCCAGCTGTTCCACGATGCTGTGACACTGCGGTCTCCATCAGGCATTCCATGTTTAGCCCCTCCCCTTCGTCGTCCTCATCTGAGCCTGGCTGGGGGCTTGCACGAGAGACATATCTGCCAACATTGGGGAAACCAAAAGGTACCGATACCGCTGCTCCCTGGACCTATCCCGGGGTGCGTTCTGACTCGGATCTCGAGTCGAATCCAGCCTTGGCGACGAGGGCCTCCCAGGAAGCCCAAGAAGGGGAGAACGGAGGAAAAGTAGCGGCATGTGTATCTCTTACTCCTCTGAAGCATAATCACCTAGGCGACTGCCGACTCTGCCTCCACGCGCCGCTCGTTCCCCCCCCCACACACACCTCGTCTCGGAGACCGTCTCGTCTGCCTCCACTCGTCCATCCTCCCCTGCACAACGCCGAGGGCAGCGCACACGGCTTGCAGGCAAACTCAAGGACGAAGTTCTCCTCGTCCTCGCGGAGCGGCTCAAGACGTTGCCTCTCTTGGCGTTGTCCATGGTGGGTCCGTGTTTGATGCGTCGAGCCGTGGTGCACAAGATATGTATGATACAGGAAGACCCCGACCACAAGAAACCTTCAACAAGAATCCCAACCCTGAGACCCCAGGACGTCCATCGATGTTTGGTGTGGGAGCGTCACGCTTTCCATCGCAAAATCCTCGAAATCCAAGAAACCAAGGGCACTCTGGAGGCAGTCAGGGTGCTTCTCGGCATGGGCTTCCACGGTATGATATGACGGACCGCAGGCGTCCGCCCGAAGATCAGTTGAACGCGGATCGCCTGCTCACATCGGTTAAGGCAGATTAGTTTTCAAAAACGATGGTGACAACACGCCCTCGGCGACCACCCGAACTCACGGTGGAGATGAGAGCCAACACGCACACAAACGAAACACTCTCGGCGACCACCTGCTCGGGGTGGCTTCAACGAGCTGCAGCACACGGCACAACAGCGATGGCGATGACGACGACGCTGATTGTTCACCTCTCCGAGCTGGCGAGAAAACGCACCCTCAAGATCTGAACATAATCACCTGGACCATCAGACTTAAAAGCCTGGCCTGCGAGCCTCAGAAGAATATCCACAGAAAAAGGTGCAGGCGAGCCAGAGCTGTGAGGCGACAATGCCACAAGCTCCCAAGCTTCCCCTTGGAATTCAGGCCTCCGCTCGCGAGATCTAGGGGAACAACAAATTACATAAACATAAAAACTCGGAGATCCGCGCGGATTTCTCGGATCGGCGATGGACCCCCCTCCCTGGCGGGCGGAGCGCGCCAGGGGCGGCGCCGGAGGCGCCGCCAGGGGGCTCCAGCGCCGATCCGAGGAATCCGCGCGGACCTCCCAGTTTTTATATTTATGCCATTGCTTGTTCCCCGAATTCAGGCTTCCGCTCGCGAGAGCACTGTCTGGCTCTCTTCTAGGGCTGCCCCTGCGGCCCGTGCGGGGGGGGGGGCACGGCGCCCTGTCGCACACGCTTTTGCCCCTTCGCCATGCCCGAAAGAAGAAAAGCGCACGGACGCCAGCCTCAGGTCGGGCACATGTCGGGGAGACGTAAGACCTGGGTACAGGGGACTCGGAAATCCCCGACGAGGTCGTCAAAAAAATGACGAGGCCGAGCCTGCATTCTGACGAGGCCTCCCGCTGCAGACATCCCACGAAACTCCTCCTCGTCAAAATCCGAGTCGCGGTCGTCAAAAAACGATGGCGAACCCGAGTCCTGGCAAACCCGGGTCTTACGCTCCCCCGAAAGAAGAAAAGCGCACGGACGCCAGCCTCAGGTCGGGCACATGTCCTCCCACAGGCGGATCTGGAAATAACAAAGAAAAGAACCGACGACTACTCGAAACTGGTGAAACGTGGTTGGAAAATCGTCCGCAAACTGTGTTTGGACTATCTTTGAACTTCCCCCCTGTATGGACCAGGGACCGACCGTCCCGGCATTCCAATAGGCCTACCACTACATGTTCCTAGAACCCAAACGTGTTCTAAGAACAAAAACAATGGATCATAAGCCATCTGCGTTAAACCACGACGGTCTCAGCCAGAACTGCTCTGAGAACATCTCGTGCAAAGCACAATAGTTTCTTAGAACATCCTCTGGTAGGCCTATGGGCGGGCTGGAACGCTTCGCCACTGCTTGACTGCAGAGGGACATGCCCGACTCAACGCCAGCCCTGCGAGGCACACCGTGCAGAGCCGGCGAGGCACACCGGGAGCCGGCCCCGCGGGGCACACCGTGAGCAACACAGGCACCAACGCTGCCCCGTGCAGCCCTGCGAGCGCACAACTGCCGCTGCGTTGGAAGTTCACCCCTCGATGCTAAAAGCAAATTGACCCACTTAGAAGAAGAACGAACCACATAGGCATAAGCTTTTGGCGCTCCGCGCGGATTTCTTGGATCTGCGCGCGGACCCCCCTCCCTGGCGCGCGGAGCGCGACACGGGCGGCGCCGGGGGCGCCGCCAGGGCGGGGGCCCAGGCGCGGATTCAAGAAATCCGCGCGGAGCGCCAAACATTTTGTTGTTTACGTGTTTTTTCCTTCTTCGATCAATGAAAAGAACAAATTAGACTACCGATGAGATCCGCAGTCCTCCGAGATGCCATTGCCAGCCGTACCAGGTCGCCGGTGGCTTCACTCGCAGCACACACCCACCCGTCTGCAGGGCACGCTGCGTCGGCCCAGGGCTTAGCACAACTTGTCGACGTCGACCTTCAGAATCAGTCTCGCCTTTGAGGGGCAACGATAGGGAGGGACTGGCATAGAGGAGTATGCATCGACCTGGAATCGGCGAAACATCGTCGATAGATCGGCGATAGTGAATCCGCATCTTCCTGGACAGGTTGGGGCTATCGGGTCCCTATCGGCGATCAATGGGCGATTGCGTGTCGATGCATCCCCCCCTATGCCTGTCCCCCCCTATCGCTACCCCTAAGCCTTGACCGCGCCGTTGGAGTGATAGACTGGGTCCGGTGATCTGTGCAGCAGGCCATTCACCGAGCCAGGGAACATCGTGCCCTTCATGAAAAGAATGTCACCCACTCCCGCTCGGCAGACCGCGGCGTGGTCGCGGACAATCCGACGGCCGGCGGCGCGCCAGAAGGGGCGGGGGCGATGGGGGGAGGCCCTCTGGGAAGAGATCGGAGGCGTCAAAGAAGGCGGGGGTGCTTCTGGGGAGCCCCTTGGAGCATCGTGGGACCGATCTGGATCCCCACTGGCCCGGCCTGGGCCCAACTGGCCGATGGACTCCCCCGGATGGGGAGAGGAGGCGGCTCACCACGTCGGGCCTCGAGGGGCAGGCCCCCGGGGCTGGGGTGGCAGGATGGTGGGGATCGGGATGGGGGCGGGAAGATGGATCGGCGAAGCGATCTGACTACCTACCAGACCACCCCAACCCAACCCGAAGACCCGAATTTCGGGTTGGGGGGGGTATGGGCTCCACATGTGTTTTTTCTATGTTCCCGGACCCCCCCCCCACTAGAAATCGAGGGTAAATCTGAGCCTTCGGGTTGGGTTGGGGTGGTTTGGTGGGTGGTGACGATCCGTGCTGACCCCTGCCCCCCCCCCTGCCTCCTCGGAAGGCTCTCTCCTCCCCCCCTTCGCCCTGCCCCCGGGCCTGCGCGCCGCCGAGCTGGTTCTTGCCGCCGCTCCGGAGCTCCCAGTGGTCCACGTGGTCGCCGTGGACGTACTCCGTGCCGCCGACGTTGTAGGACACGATGGCCCGCGCGACGTACTGGTCCTGGGGTTAGGTCGGGCGCGTCCTCCCACAGGCGGACTTTGGACGGAAATTAAGCAATAATTGCGCAAGAACATGCCCAACAATAATCAAACAAATCGTTCCCAAACTATTTTTCACTATTTTGGAATCTTCCTCCTGTAGAGGGACGTGCCCGCCTTGGTCCTGATGCCACCGCTTGCAGCTGTTCTCCCCCACGAGCTCCAGCTTGAGACTCAGCGCGCTGGCGGCGGGGATCAGCGCTGCCACCGCCGCGCCGACGGTCCGAGGACGGGAACAAACCCCACAAGCACTCACTTTCGGGGCTCCGCGCGGGTGCGCGAGGGAGTGGCGCGGGAGGCGCCTTCGGGGGGGGCCCAGCGCCGATCCAAGGCATGCGCGCGGAGCTCCGAAGACGTGTAGGAGGAGGAGGACGAGGAGGAGGAGGAGGAGGAGGAGGAGGAGCAGGAGGAGCAGGAGGAGGAGGAGGAGGAGCAGGAGCAGGAGGAGGAGGAGGAGGAGGATGAGGCGGAGGAGGAGGCGGAGGCGAGGAGGAGGCGGAGGAAAAATGCCTGCTCGTGCCGCGTTCGCCTCCTCGGGATGCCCTCCGCGTCCGCCCGCACCTGCGCCAGCAACTCCGCGGGGAGGCCGGCGCAGGCGCGTGGGTCCAACAGCCGCGCCGCGGCGGACCGGAGGGCCTCGCCCGGGGGCTCGGCCGCCCCGGAGGGGACGTCGTCCCTGCGAGTGGAGTCCACGCCGAACGCGCCCGCGCGGTAGAGGCCGTCCACGGCGGCCTGGATCCGCCAGCGCCGCTGCGCGGCGCCACGCCGCGAGGGCTGGCCTAGGCCTCCTCGGCACCCGAGCGGCACGGCAGCAGGGAAGGCGGCTTGGCTTCAGTGGCCTCGCCTGCACTGGTCATAGCCACAACTCCGCATCTTAGCATCTTGAATCTCTGGGAGCGAGCGCGACTCCCCTTGGCTGATGGTCCCCAACATGTCCTACCTCATCCTCTAGGTGTTCAGAGGTGACCTCGAAATGTGTCCCCGACGTGTTACCATCTCCAAGATGTGCTCCTGCACGTTCCTCTTGGCCCCCGACAGCATCACCCCACCAAGCAGCCCACTGGACAATCAGCCAAACAGTGAGCCAACCAACTAGCCAACCAGACCAGCAAGACAGCCGGCTGGCCAAGCAAGCAGCTTTGGTGTCCCTTCCATGTGAGCCTGCGTGGCCCCGGCGCTGTCCACTTGGGCCTGACTTGGAACACATTTGGGACCGGGTCAGGACAGGATCTGGAAGGGAGGGGGAAAAGGAAGGGCGAATAGGAGCAGGAGGAAGAGCCGGATGCGGTCCAAAGGCGGTCCCAGTGCAGGAAAAGCTGTTTTCAACGTCGACGCTAAAGGCTCCCATGCGCGCAGACATCGAAACCAGCAGGCACCAACCAAACCAACCAAGCAACCAGACAGTCAGCCGGCCGAGCATGAAAGGCGCCAGCGGCAAGAGGCTTCCGCAGCCATCGTGAGAGTTTGTTGTATTCGGCATTTCGACATTGGGCGGCGAGGAGGGGGAGTGGGGGGTCTGGCTCCAGACCTCTGCTTAGTGCGACTGTTTGCAACAGTGCGGCGTCTGGGGGAGGCTCCACCCGCTGGAAATAGGCGCCGAAAAACAGCCACGATCTACTCCAAGGGGCGGGGATGGGGGGGTTGCGAGGACCCGCGCCGATCGGCGAAACAATTC